TGGGTACCGTGGGGCGCCCGGTGCCGGGGCGGGGGTGATGCCGGGGTTCCGCGGGGCTGCAGGTTCTCAGTCCCGCGTCTCTCCCGTGGGGTTTTGAAGTCCAGATGTTTGGCTGTGGGTCCTCATACATTCGGTAGCTAGGTATAAAAAGCCATTAGGCAGATGCTTTTAACACCAGAAAAGCATTTTAAAACGAAAGTTGGTGAAAATGCCCTAAATTTGTCAACCATTGCTATCAAAGTGGGGAGAAAGAACGAGAGTCAAGTGTTTTCTTTCACCGTAATTTGGCCTACACTCACCAGTTTCCAAACTTTTACATTTGTTGTTCCTACTTTTTGAGGAACATTACAGGAGTAAAACTGAAAAGTCATGCTGTTCTTTTAACTTTTTAGCAATGCCTGGACGAGAACGTATTTTTTTGTAGTAAAATTGCTTTTTTTTAAAAAAATATATTTTATTGATTTTTTACAGAGAGGAAGGGAGAGAGATAGAGAGTTAGAAACATCGATGAGAGAGAAACATCCATCAGCTGCCTCCTGCACACCTCCTACTGGGGATGTGTCCCGCAACCAAGGTACATGCCCTGGACCGGAATCGAACCTGGGACCTTTCAGTCCGCAGGCCGACGCTCTATCCACTGAGCCAAACCGGTTTCGGCTAAAATTGCTTTTTTAAAGCACTTAAAAATACATCACTGCTTGGAAACGTCTATGATACCCCTTAAAAAAAAAAGCAGAACTTCTCTTTGGTGTGTCTTCTTAATTAAAAGATAGGTGAGATTTTCTTCCTAAGAGGTCGTTGCTAAATGTAGTGGAGAAATAGCCCTGACCAGTTTGGCTCAGTGGATAGAGCATCAGCCTGCGGACTGAAGGGTCCCGGGTTCGATTCTGGTCAAGGGCATGTACCTTGGTTTCGGGGCACATCCCCAGTAGGAGGTGTGCAGGAGGCAGCTGATCCATGTTTCTCTCTCATCAATGTTTCTAACTCTCTATTCTTCTCCCTTCCTCTCTGTAAAAAATCAATAAAATATATTAAAAAAAAATAAATGTAGTGGAGAAATAAACAATACCTTAAACAAGATGCTACAATAGTATCTGTATATTGTCAAGGATATATTAATGGGGAAAAATTTAACAACTATCAGAATTATGTAAAAAATCTTCCAAGTTTACTCCGAATATTCAATGCATGTCCTTTCACTTGAGAGATTATAGAGCAGTGCATTCGTTTTCTATCGCTGCTTAAAGCAACGCAGGTTTGTTAATATTACAGTTCTGTAATCAGAAGCCAACACGGGTCTCGCCAAGCTAAAGCAAAGGTTCCAGGCAGAGCCACTTAACTTTTTGAAGGCTTTTGGGGAGAATTCGTTTTATTTTTCATTCAGGTTTTATTTTCTTAATATATTTTTTATTGATTTCAGAGAGGAAGGGAGAGGGAGAGAGAGATAGAAACATCAATGATGAGAGAGAATCATTGATCGGCTGCTTCCTGCACGCCCCCCACTGGGGATTGAGCCCCGAAACCCACCCCGGCATGTGCCCTAGACTGGAATCGAACCTGGGACCCTTCTGTCCGCAGGCCGCCGCTCAGTCCATTGAGCCAAACCAGCCAGGGCTCATTCAGGTTCTTAAGCAGAATTCAGGTCCTTGCCATTGTAGTCCCGAGGTCCCTTTTTTCTTGACATTCCTTGCTTCTAGATGCCACCCACATCTCTTCTGTCTCTGGCCCCCTCCCTCCACCTTTACAGCCAGTAATAGGGGGTCAAGTAACTCTCATTCTAGGAATCTCTCCTGCTCTTCTGTCTTCCCGTGTCTACTCTTCCTCCCTCCACGGCTGAAGGCTCTCTCATGTGATTACATTGGGTCCACCAGGTAATCCAGGATTATCTCCCCATTTTAAGGTCAGCTGATTAACACCCTTAAATCCATTTGCAACCTTAATTTCCTTTCCCCCTGTAAAGTTAGTAAATTTACAGGTGTGACATATCCACCCATCCCGGTGGAACGTCTAGAATTTTGTTTTCCTTGCCTACATGCATCAGCCTTAGGTCAGCATATTATCACTTAAAAAGGTGGATTCAGAACCATGCAATCCCTTCAGGGTGGGTTGATGGAGTGCTCCTTGGTAGCTCTCTTACCTCTTTTTTTTTTATTTTGTCCAGCATTACAGACTTCCTTAGTCTTTTCCAAAGATTTCGGTTTGCTTGTGTTTGTTCGGAAATCACTTAGCATTGATGAAGTAAGTTGAACATTTTCATTTTTTTTCTTGCATATTCCTTTATGTTTAAGTGACTCTTAATCTTACTCATATTACTACAATGTGTATTTCTTCTTTTATAGTTTCGTGATTGTCGAGAAGAAATCCTAAAATTTTTATGTATTTTCTTAGAAAAAATTGGCCAGAAGATCACACCTTATTCTCTTGATATTAAGGTAAGGAGGAGAAAACATAGTTTTATCAATATTCATTTTAATTTATGGTGTGAGTTCAACTTGGGTTTTTATTTAATTTCTGTCTTTTTATTTCTGCTTGATTGTGTTAGAAATAAAGTGGACTATTCTTTTTTTTTTAGATTTAATAAGCTAAGGCCATTGTCAAAAACTATTTGATAACTTTTTATTACATAGGATCAGTAATGCTTTTATAAAAAGTCAAAATAAGTTATATTTTTGAATTGTGGGGAGATTTCAGAACACTTTAAATTTTAAAGAAATTTTCCCAAGGGTAAGATTCATATTTCTTTTTTTTTTTTTAAATCTAGTTTCTTTTTTAAAAAATATTTTACTGATCTTTTACAGAGAGGAAGGGAGAGGGATAGAGAGTTAGAAACATCGATGAGAGAGAAACATCGATCAGCTGCCTCCTGCACATCCCCTACTGGGGATGTGCCCACAACCAAGGTACAAGCTCCTGACCGGAATCGAACCTGGGACCTTTCAGTCCGCAGGTCGACGCTCTATCCACTGAGCCAAACCGGTTAGGGCGATTCATATTTCTTATAGTTCATGTTCTCTTTGACAGCAGTCTGAAAAATTTGCCTGTTTTATGCCCCCCATTCTCTTTCAACATGCCTTCCCTAAGGTTTCCTCATAACTTACTAAGGAACTAGTAGTCATGAATTAAGTTGTTGTTTATTAGACTTATTTATGCTTTCAACAAGTGCCACATCTTGAAGTAAGTTGTTTTTATTTGTCCAAATTTGCTCCTTGTTCTTGGATGCTCAGTGTTGATGAAGAAGTATGTATCTAGTTTATTGTAATTTATAGGAAGTTATCTTATCCTATATAATAAAAGCCCAGCAACCCAACAGCAGAATGACAGGTTGACCAGTTGCTATGACACGCACTGACCACCAGGGGGCAGACGCTCAATGTAGGAGCTGCCCGCCAGTAGTCAGTGCACTCCCACAGTGGGAGCACTGCTTGGCTGACCAGTATGAGCAGCGCTCCCATAGTGGGCCCATCCCTGCAGGCCACACTCCCCCCACCCCCACCAGTGCTTGAATCCCGTGCACTGGGCCTCTAATAAATTATAAGTAGCTCTAATATAGAAAATGTTTTTAATGATTTATCAGTCTTTTTTTTTTTTTTTTTTTTTCATTTTTTTTTTTTTTTTTTTTTTTAGCAGATTTTGATTTTATTCTCTTTTGACTTCTAATCTTTCTCGATTGGAATCTTAATATTTAAAAACATCGTCTCAAGGGTAGGAGTGACATTTATAGAGTACTTCATAGTTTACAAAGTTCTTTAATGTGTAGTTTGCCCCTTAATATTTAGCAAATCTTTGTTATACTTCATCTCTCTAGTTTACAAGTTAAGAAACTCACCCAGTCTTGGCGCTAGGTTGCCTCCTTCCAAAGCTCCTGCTGCTTTCATTGCACTGCACTGTCGAGTCCCAGCCATTCTTCTCCGAATTGCGTTAGTTACCTTTTTTGTTTTTCATTCTTTCTTTCTCGATATATGGCAACAGGTGCTGTGGGAAATACAGAAAGAGGAATAACTTTAACTTTTTTTCTATCCTGCTGAGGTCTCCATTGACTTTGTTACTTTGGTTATTAATATTATTCCCATTGCATATTGCATCAATGTTTTCAGCAATTTTAATTCTGTATATTTATATACTCTAATGTTATATTTAACAGCTAAATAATAAATTGTGTTATGGCACATATTGGTATTACTCTTCTCAGAGATGTAGTTTTAGATATCATTGACTTTTTGGTATGTCTCCTTTTAAAATCTAGAATACTTGTACCAGTGTTTATACAAAAGATAAAGCTGCTAAATGTAAGATTCCAGCCCTTGAACTTCTTATTAAGGTAATTTTATATTTCTAAGTACGTGCATTCTATATTAAACATATGACTTAAAAAACTGAAAATTGGAATTTTGGGTTAGAAATATTGGAGGATAGGCTCGAATGACATTTCTGTGTGGATAAAATGCATGTTTTCCAATCATCATATAACAATACTTTGGTATTTTTGTTCTCAGTCTCTTCTGGGTAGTATAAGAAGTATTTGCGTTTTGAGGAGATTGAAGGGGGAAAATAACTAAGACATTTACTGCTCCTCTACTACTTTCATTACCCTTTCTCTTCAAATTACTAAGAATTGCCAAAATATATCTCATTGTATCTCTGAGTTTTTTCCTAGAACCTTACCATGAGAGTGGGTCTGTATATTGTATTTCAGTAGTCATTGGGACTCTCTCTCACTTGTATGTCTCTCTTAGATGGATCTCTCTTTTTGCATCTCTATTTTAGAATTCCTTCGGGTCTTGTTGGTCCTTAAGTGCCTCCAAGAGAATGGTTTTAGTCATCTTCCTGGTTACTTGGAAAGTAAAATTAAGGTTACACCCTATTCCCCTTTGTAACTCCCCTCTGTTCTTATATCGCCACCTTAGCCCCTATCTACTAAATAGTCTGAGAGACCAAGCGTAAGTCCCCTGGAGACACATGATTCTGGAACTTTGCTGTATACATACTTACTTAGGTAGTTGATGCCTTTTCATTATTTTCCTCTTGAGCCAATGCTTATTTGTATTTCTTTAGTTACTTCATACTTTGAGAAGTTCTAGACTCATGGATGAATTTAGAGTTGGGGAATTATTTAGCAAATTCTATGGAGAACTTGCATTGAAAACAAAAATACCAGATACAGGTGAGATGCATTTAAATGTTATTTTAAAATATTTTAACAAGTTAACATTAAAAATTATTACTATAAAACTTAGGTTTGTCTCTGTCAAGGTACTTACATGTTTTATAGATGAATCCTTTTTTGCTGAAAATAAACCAAAATGGAAACCTACAAAAACAATGTGTAAAGACTTCTGCTTATAAAAACTTTAATCTTTATAAATTGATTTATTTAAATATAAATCTCACAACACATGTCAAATGTAATTTGTTTATGATATTAGATTTGCATAAAACTTACCAGGAAATATTCTAGTACATAAAACTAGATTTTTGTATGTTTTGCTTTGAACTAAACATCTTATTTTCTTATTTGTAAATTTTTATTATTTATCTAAATGTCATTTATTTATTTTTTGAGCTCTTTTTAAGTTTATATTTTAGTTAAATTTACATATTTATATTATATTCTGGAAGTAATTACATTGAATTGTTAACAGTAGCTGTATTTTTAAATGCTATTTTAGATCTTTATTTACCTAAAATTTATTTTTCAGTTTTAGAAAAAATATATGAGCTCTTAGGAGTATTAGGGGAAGTTCATCCTAGTGAGATGATAAATAATTCAGAAAAACTGTTCCGGGCTTTTCTGGGTGAGCTTAAGACCCAGGTATGTAAACTTTATGATATTCTGCTTCCATAGATTTGGTTGTATTTTTCTTTTTTAATGGTATCTTCTTAAAACTTTCCTTTTAGATGACATCAACAGTAAGAGAGCCCAAACTACCTGTTGTAGCAGGATGTTTGAAGGGATTGTCATCACTTATGTGCAACTTCACTAAATCCATGGAAGAAGGTATTGCTTGACTTCACTTGATTCTTTCTTTATTCAAAAATTGTAGGTCTAAAATAAATTGCCCATTTATTTTTTTAACTTTTAAACCAATTTCAGATTCACATGCAATTGTGAAAAATAACACAGAGAGATTATGTATGTTCTTCACCCAGTTTTGGCTAGTGATATAGTATAATAGCACAACCAACATAATTGACTTTGAAAAAAATCTACCGACCTTATTCAGGTTTCACTAGTTTTATGTGCTTATACTTTTATATCTGGATTTAGTTCTGGGCAGTTTTATCATGTGTCGCTTTGTGTGTGCACCCCCACAGTCAAGATACTAACCAGTCCATCACCACAAGGATCCTTCCTGCGAACCTTTTATAGCCACATTCACCTCTCCTTCTTCCCCCTTCCTACTGTAACCACAACTGATCGATCTTCATCTTGAATTTTGTTATTTCAAGGTTATATAAATGCACTCATGATATGTAACTTTTTGTGGCTGGCTTATTTCACTTAGCATAATGTCTTCAGGGTTCATCCATGTTGTAATATGTGTCAGAATTTCCTTTTTAATGCTCATAGTCAATTTTATGAGTATATACACTACATTTTTTAACCTATTTATACATCAGTGGACACTGGGATTGCTACTACACTTTCACTATCGATCCTATCTAATAATAGCCAAACATGGTAATTGACCATACCTTCGCTACGCCTCCCATTGGCTAATCAGCACGATATGCAAATTAATCGCCAACAATGGTGGTGGTTAATATGCATATACCAGCCGGGAGCGAAGCAATCCAGGCGGCCGAAAACAAGCTGGGTGGCGGAGGGAGGCGGGGGCGAAACAAGCCGGGCAGCGGAGGGAGGCAGGGGCGAAACAAGCCGGGCCAGGGGGCGGAGGGAGGCGGGAACGAAACAAGCTGGGCCAGGCAGTGGAGGGAGGTGG